AGCCCCCACTTGCTGTGGTCCAGCCCCTACACTTGCTGTGGTCCAGCCCCCCACTTGCTGTGGTCCAGCCCCCCACTTGCTGTGGTCCAGCCCCTACACTTGCTGTGGTCCAGCCCCCCACTTGCTGTGGTCCAGCCCCCCACTTGCTGTGGTCCAGCCCCTACACTTGCTGTGGTCCAGCCCCTACACTTGCTGTGGTCCAGCCCCCCACTTGCTGTGGTCCAGCCCCCCACTTGCTGTGGTCCAGCCCCCCACTTGCTGTGGTCCAGCCCCTACACTTGCTGTGGTCCAGCCCCTACACTTGCTGTGGTCCAGCCCCCCACTTGCTGTGGTCCAGCCCCCCACTTGCTGTGGTCCAGCCCCTACACTTGCTGTGGTCCAGCCCCCCACTTGCTGTGGTCCAGCCCCCCACTTGCTGTGGTCCGGCCCCCCACTTGCTGTGGTCCAGCCCCCACTTGCTGTGGTCCAGCCCCCCACTTGCTGTGGTCCAGCCCCCACTTGCTGTGGTCCAGCCCCCCACTTGCTGTGGTCCAGCCCCTACACTTGCTGTGGTCCAGCCCCTACACTTGCTGTGGTCCAGCCCCCCACTTGCTGTGGTCCAGCCCCCCACTTGCTGTGGTCCAGCCCCCACTTGCTGTGGTCCAACCCCCACTTGCTGTGGTCCAGCCCCCCACTTGCTGTGGTCCAGCCCCCCACTTGCTGTGGTCCAACCCCCACTTGCTGTGGTCCAGCCCCCCACTTGCTGTGGTCCAGCCCCCCACTTGCTGTGGTCCTGCCCCCCACTTGCTGTGGTCCAGCCCCCACACTTGCTATGGTCCAGCCCCTACACTTGCTGTGGTCCAGCCCCCACACTTGCTGTGGTCCAGCCCCCCACTTGCTGTGGTCCAGCCCCTACACTTGCTGTGGTCCAGCCCCTACACTTGCTGTGGTCCAGCCCCTACACTTGCTGTGGTCCAGCCCCTACACTTGCTGTGGTCCAGCCCCCCACTTGCTGTGGTCCAGCCCCCCACTTGCTGTGGTCCAGCCCCCCACTTGCTGTGGTCCAGCCCCTACACTTGCTGTGGTCCAGCCCCCCACTTGCTGTGGTCCAGCCCCTACACTTGCTGTGGTCCAGCCCCTACACTTGCTGTGGTCCAGCCCCTACACTTGCTGTGGTCCAGCCCCTACACTTGCTGTGGTCCAGCCCCTACACTTGCTGTGGTCCAGCCCCCCACTTGCTGTGGTCCAGCCCCCCACTTGCTGTGGTCCAGCCCCCCACTTGCTGTGGTCCAGCCCCCCACTTGCTGTGGTCCAGCCCCTACACTTGCTGTGGTCCAGCCCCCCACTTGCTGTGGTCCAGCCCCCCACTTGCAGTGGTCCAGCCCCCCACTTGCTGTGGTCCAGCCCCTACACTAGCTGTGGTCCAGCCCCTACACTTGCTGTGGTCCAGCCCCCACTGGCTGTGGTCCAGCCCCCACACTTGCTGTGGTCCAGCCCCCCCCCCCCCCCCCCCCACTTGATGCCTTCACAAACAAGTCCTTACACTCTTCAACCTTATCGTTGCTGCCTTATCTTATATCTCTGACCTCTAGTTTAACTTTCCGTGTTTGCACTCTATTCCATGTGTTTTGACCTTACCCTTTGGTGCTCTTAATCCCATTATCTGTGCTCTATACTGACCCCTTGAAGCCTGATTGCGATCTGTGTGTTCTAGACTGATTCCTTGTAGCCTGACTGCAGTCTCTATCATCTTTAAAAATTCCTTGTTCCCTTGTATTTCTTGTATTCTGTTGCCTGTGGGTAGAGTTGACTGAGTAACTGACTGGTTGCAAGTTGACTGGAGAGCTGAGAGAGTGTGTGAGGGTGGCAGTGGGGACATTACCCATAAAGATCACAAGGAAGGGGAGTTAATTATAAGAGGGAAACTGCAATTGATCCCATATCATAACGAGGGTGTGTTGGCTTCGTTATGGGGATGTAAACAATATTTTTAACACAGGTGAGAGGGAGAGATGAAGAAAGAGAATGTGGGGGAAGTGCATGATGAATGTGCGAGTGAGAGGGAGAGAGGGAGGGAGGGAGGGAGAGAGGGAGGGAGAGAGGAGAGGAGGGGAGGGAGGGAGAGAGAGAGAGAGAGAGAGAGAGAGAGAGAGAGAGAGAGAGAGAGAGAGAGAGAGAGAGAGAGAGAGAGAGAGAGAGAGAGAGAGAGAGAGAGACAGACGACAGACAGACAGACAGAGAGAGAGGAGAGAGAGAGAGAGAGGAGAGAGAGAGAGAGAGAGAGAGAGAGAGAAGAGAGAGAGAGAGAGAGAGAGAGAGAGAGTGAATAGGAAATAACTTTATGCCAACTGTTCGCCCCTCAGCCCCATCCTCACCCTAAAAAAAAGTTTCCACCACAACATAATGACAGTGGTTGAAGCGTAACTTCAGGGGGAGGGAGGAGGGGGGAACTCACACGTTTCCTCTACTATCACCACAAATTACAGATCATCTGTGTACCACAGAGGGGGTGTAGGGAATGCGAGGGGAAATAGGTTACACGTACAACCACTTGCATTGGTTGGAAGAGCGACGGCTTTGATACAGATTCCGAGTTCGATCGCCCCACACAGTTCAAGTGGTTCACCACCGTTTTCTTTACTTCCTCCACGTGTCTTGTTTCCTTGTTCTCATATCCCCTCCAAGTTACATTTAATCATACTAGCTTAGAATGTCCTGATAATTATCCTGCCTTGCAGGCAGGAGTGGACTTCACCACGCTGGAGGAAAGATTAAGGAACACGGAACACATGACAGGGAAAGTCAATGTTCTGAGAACAATTGACTAACTAGGCAGAAAAGTAACGTTCAGAGAGAAACAACAAAACGCACCGACTTGAATTAGTTGTTGAAACATGTATGACAGAATTTCTTCAGCCTAAGATTTGTAGATAAATGAAATGGATTGTATGAAGAAGTTTATGCTACTTCCAAACATTATTGTTTTACATGTAAATGTGGTAAGGAAAACGAGTGACTTGTGTCATTACATTATTATTACAGATGGTCTCGAGGCTCGACGCTGCCCACACACACACACACACACACACACACACACACACACACACACACACACAGAAGAGTTAGGGGGGGCATGATCACCACATTCAAAATTCTCAAGGGAATTGATAGGCTAGATAAAGACAGGCTATTTAACACAAGGGGCACACGAACAAGGGGACACAGGTGGAAACTGAGTGCCCAAATGAGCCACAGAGATATTAGAAAGAACATTTTCAGTGTCAGAGTAGTTAACAGATGGAATGCATTAGGCAGTGATGTGGTGGAGGCTGACTCCATACACAGTTTCAAGTGTAGATATGATAGAGCCCAGTAGGCTCAGGAACCTGTACACCAGTTGATTGACAGTTGAGAGGCGGGACCAAAGAGCCAAAGCTCAACCCCCGCAAGCACTAATAGGTGAGTACAAATAGATGAGTACACACATACAGACACACACACACACATACACACACACACACACCCAGAACTAAGTTCTGGGTGTGCACACCCAGTTCTAGTCCCAGAACTAAGAGGCATGAGTTATGAGGAAAGGCTGCGGGAAATGCACCTTACGACACTGGAAGACAGAAGAGTAAGGGGGGACATGATCACAACCTACAAAATCCTCAGGGAATCGACCGGGTAAACAAGGATGAACTATTCAACACTGGTGGGACGCGAACAAGGGGACACAGGTGGAAGCTGAGTACCCAAATGAGCCACAGAGACGTTAGAAAGAACTTTGTCAGTGTCAGAGTAGTTAGTAAATGGAATGCATTAGGAAGTGATGTGGTGGAGGCTGACTCCATACACAGTTTCAAGTGTAGATATGATAGAGCCCGATAGGCTCAGGAATCTGTACACCAGTTGATTGACGGTTGAGAGGCGGGACCAAAGAGCCAGAGCTCAACCCCCGCAAGCACAATTAGGTGAGTACAATTAGGTGAGTACACACACACACACACACACACACACACACACACACACACACACACACACACACACACACACGCACACACACACACACACACACCACACACACACACACACACACACACACACACACACACACACTCATGCATATTCCATCATAATATTGCGAAATTTTACAGGGCGAGCAGAGAGAATGTTTTAGCGGAGAGTCTTCAAGTGACACGATCCACTTTCCTACATTAACTCCAGCGTCCCGGATGTTAGCAGATTGCATAATTGTTTTCGTAACCGCTTAAAATACTGCATTATCCGCCTCCAGCGACTTTCACTTACACGAACGGCCCTAAACTGCTTTTTGGACTAGGAGGGGGGGAGAGGGAGGGATGTGTGGCAAGAGGGGATAGGGAGACTGAAGGGGGGAAGGGAAGGGAAGGGAAGGGAAGGGAAGGGAAGGGAAGGGAAGGGATAGTAGGAAGGGTTGTTTAGGGATGAAGGCGGAAGTTTATAGCAACATCGTGGATAATAACATTTCACTCACCAAGACACGCGGAGCCTCGAACCGCCGGTTACATAGACTAGTAGAGCCAGCCGCTTTAACCTACTGAGCCACCAACATCCCTTAAAGGAAGGATTCAAGAAGCACCACCTATCTGCTGCCCAACTGAAACTTTAGGCCTTCCCCGGGGGAGGGGGGGGGTGTGCCACTTTGGCGTGTAGGTGTTAAGTGGTTCACGCCCTGGGACGTGTTTCATATCTATAAAAACACTGGCTTCAGTGTTTTATACACGTATATAAAACACTGAACCGTTATCAAAGTGAACCAATAGAATGGTAGATACCAGGGAACCAGTGGACCGTGGCGGTGTGTGACAGTGGTTCACTAGGAAGTGGATCACCCACGGATAAGGTGATGCCTCTGACATCATTAATCCGCTTCTCTATCCACTCTCTCTTCATTTTGTCCTGTCTTTTTTTTTTAGCCATTTCCAATCCACTTCTCTTTCTGTTTTCTCTCCATACTTCACTGCTTTCACCTCTTTAAATACCACTTGTTCTTGTTCTCTTCTCATCCTCCTCTTCTATCTCATCATTTCCCATTAATTCTACTCTTCCTTTGTCTTGCTTTTCATTTACTTTTGTTACTCCTTCTCTTCTTCTTATATCGTCCCTTTCATAGCCACTAATCTTGCACAAATTCCGTTTTGATTTTTGGATTTTTGTCTGTTTCATTTCCTCTCACTACTTCACACCTCTCTCTCTCTCTCTCTCTCTCTCTCTCTCTCTCTCTCTCTCTCTCTCTCTCTCTCTCTCTCTCTCTCTCTCTCTCTCTCTCTCTCTCTCTCTCTCTCTCTCTCCTCGCCATTCCATGCCATATAAAAAGAAAATAGTATGAAAAATATCGGAGGGTTTGAACAAAGTCGATTCAAATCCAGCGGAGGCGAGCGGCCATTAATCATACACCAGCCCCGGCCTGCTATCAGTACGGCTCCAACCTAATGAACACCCACAGTGGTCTGGCCGGGGCCAGGGACACCACCACCACAGCCACGGACACCCCACCACAGCCAGGGACACCCCACCACAGCCAGGGACACCCCCACCACAGCCAGGGACACCCCCCACCACAGCCAGGGACACCCCCACCACAGCCAGGGACACACCCCCACCACAGCCAGGGACACCCCACCACAGCCAGGGACACCCCCCTCCACAGCCAGGGACACCCCCCACCACAGCCAGGGACACCCCCCACCACAGCCAGGGACACCCCCCTCCACAGCCAGGGACACCCCCCCCCCCACAGCCAGGGACACCCCCCACCACAGCCAGGGACACCCCCCTCCACAGCCAGGGACACCCCCCTCCACAGCCAGGGACACCCCCCTCCACAGCCAGGGACACCCCCCCCACAGCACAGCCAGGGACACCTCCATCACAACCAGGGACACCCCACTACAGCCAGGGACACCCCCCACCAGCACAGCCAGGGACACCCCACTACAGCCAGGGACACCCCCCACCAGCACAGCCAGGGACACCCCACCACAGCCAGGGACACCCCCCTCCACAGCCAGGGACACCCCCCCCCCACAGCCAGGGACATCCCCCACCACAGCCAGGGACACCCCACCACAGCCAGGGACACCCCCCCCTCCACAGCCAGGGACACCCCCCACCACAGCCAGGGACACCTCCATCACAGCCAGGGACACCCCCCTCCATAGCCAGGGCACCCCCTCCACAGCCAGGGACACCCCCCACCACAGCCAGGGACACCTCATCACAGCCAGGGACACCCTCCAGCCAGCCCAGGACACCCCCCACCACAGCCAGGACACCCCCACCACAGCCAGGGACACCCCCCACCACAGCCAGGGACACCCCCCACCACAGCCAGGGACACCCCCCACCACAGCCAGGGACACCCCCACCACAGCCAGGGACACCCCCCACCACAGCCAGGGACACCCCCACCACAGCCAGGGACACCCCCCACCACAGCCAGGGACACCCCCCACCACAGCCAGGGACACCCCCCTCCACAGCCAGGGACACCCCCCTCCACAGCCAGGGACACCCCCCACCACAGCCAGGGACACCCCCCCCCACAGCCAGGGACACCCCCCTCCACAGCCAGGGACACCCCCCTCCACAGCCAGGGACACCCCCCACCACAGCCAGGGACACCCCCCTCCACAGCCAGGGACACCCCCCCCCACAGCCAGGGACACCCACCACACAAGCCAGGGACACCCCCCTCCACAGCCAGGGACACCCCCCACCACAGCCAGGGACACCCCCCACCACAGCCAGGGACACCCCCCACCACAGCCAGGGACACCCCCCTCCACAGCCAGGGACACCCCCCACCACAGCCAGGGACACCCCCCCCACAGCCAGGGACACCCCCCTCCACAGCCAGGGACACCCCCCTCCACAGCCAGGGACACCCCCCTCCACAGCCAGGGACACCTCCATCACAGCCAGGGACACCCCCTCCACAGCCAGGGACACCCCCACCACAGCCAGGGACACCCCCCACCAAGCATCACCTCCAGCAGCAGGGACACCTCCCCCACAGCCAGGGACACCCCCCACCACAGCCAGGGACACCTCCACCACAGCCAGGGACACCCCCCCTCCACAGCCAGGGACACCCCCCACCACAGCCAGGGACACCTCCACCACAGCCAGGGACACCCCCACCACAGCCAGGGACACCTCCACCACAGCCATGGACACCCCACCACAGCCAGGGACACCCCCACCACCACGGCCAGGGACACCCCCCAACCACAGCCAGGAACACCCCACCACCGCCAGGGACACCACCACCACCCCCCACCACAGCCAGGGACACCCCCCCACCACAGCCAGGGACACTCCCCACCACAGCCAGGGACACCCCACCACAGCCAGGGGACACCCCACCACAGCCAGGGACACCCCACCACAGCCAGGGACAACCCACCACAGCCAGGGACACCCCCACCACAGCCAGGGACACCCCCACCACAGCCAGGGACACCCCACCACAGCCAGGGACAACCCCCACCACAGCCAGTGACACCCCCACCACAGCCAGGGACACCCCCCACCACAGCCAGGGACACCCCACCACACACCCCAGCCAGGGACACCCCCCACCACAGCCAGGGACACCCCCACCACAGCCAGGGACACCCCCACCACCACAGCCAGGGAACACCCCCACCACAGCCAGGGACAC